AAGAAATGAGAAAGAAATACAAAGAAAGAAATTGAAAGCAATGTCGAATGAAAAAAATACAGTTATCATCGAATAAGCAGCTGTTAGCGAAAGAAACTCAAAAAAAAGAAAGAAGAAAGAAATATGAACGAAATTATCATGAGTGGAAAGAGAAAGATACATGGAAAGTAAAAATTCAATCAGTCGAATAAGCAACTGTAAAGAAAAGAAAGAAAGAAAGAAAGAAAGAAAGAACGAATGAAAAAAGAAAGAAAGAGAAATGGGCGGAATGGGAAAAAATCAAATAAAAAATGCAGTTAGTAAATCGTCAGATAAGTAAAGGTAAAAAAAAAATAAAAAGAAAGAATATAACAAAATAGATATAAACAAAAAAATATCCAAATGAAAGACTACAATAATGTCCGTATAGGAATAAAATAACACGAATGTGGATAAGTCAACAAGTAAAACGAATGTAAGAAAAGAAATGATATTAAAGAAACGAACAAGAAAATGATCTAAAAAAGACTGTCAACATGTAAAAAGATTGAAAGAAAGAAGAGAGGAAAAAGAAATAAAATAAAATAAATAAAATGGCTCGTTAAAATAATATAAAAAGACAGCCAGCTTATAGAAAGAATGAAAGAAAGGGAAGAGGAGAAAAAAAATGGATGACAAAATGATATAAAAACTTGTCAACATGCAGAAGAATGAAAGAGTGTTATGGGATCTTACCCATAATAATAATAATAATGGACTATTCCATACTTAATGGACTATTCCATAGTTCAAGTTTTTGAACGACTACGGTTGCGCCTCCACGGGCGGGAGGGAAGGAGGCTACGCCGAAGGGCGGAGTCTCCTTCGGGAGTTAAGTCTGCCCCTGAACCCATTTATACGGGTTCAAATGGCTATTTTTTGGCCGAGCCTAATGGCTCGGGAATGCCCACGTTAAAAAGGTCATGACACCCTCGTGGGGGGTGACTGAATATTGTCAGTAGTTCAAGTCGAGTCAAGAATCGAGTCAGAGGCAGTCCAAAACAGAGTCGTGTTCAGACAATTACTGCAAGATATTGGAATAGTGATACTGGTCGAGACTCCATTGTTTTCTCTACTAAACCTGATTGTTCGTACTAACACTTTCCTACTTCTCTGTATATATTCCTGTTTGTAATATATCTGTGTTATTCCATACCTGTGTTCGAATTCTTCTTTATTGGTTCTGCCTTGGATCATCACCGTGGTACAAGGAACCGGACCATAATAAAGAGAAAAAAGAAAGAATGGAAGAAGTAAAAGAAAATATAGTAAGAAAGATAAAATTATTTAAAAAAAGACCGTTTACAAGCAAAAAGATTAAAATAAAGAGAAGTAACAAAAGAAAGAAAGAACAGAAAAAAAGAAGGAACACTAACATTATATAAAAACTGTCAATAATTATAAAGAATAAACCACAAAAAAAAAATAAATAAATAAAAAGAAAGAAATAAAGAAAAAAAGAAAGATAGCTCAGAAAAACATATCCTTATCTTCTGCCTTTTTAATGCCTGTTCTTTTATTTTTCTTCTAAGGGTTTCATTTTTCTTATTTCTTTCACATCCAATAAGAACCACCCCTGCGTCTTAGTGGCGTTATTACCTTGCTCGAAGTGAAATTATTAAAAAAAAAAAAAATGTCCACTAGACGCTCAAATGTGCGCACACACGAACAGACATTTTAAACTAGATCCCGGATGGAACAACAAGAATTGTGATACACATACACACAAAATTATCCACACGAACGATACTTGACAAGACAAAAACACGTGATGTCTGATTAACCAGTGAAAGGCAAGCAACACAAAAGTAAATTTCATTTGTTGATGAAGATTAAATAAAAACGAAACATTTTGAATTTATAAATGTTTCCGATTGGATCTTTTCCCTACCCCCCCCCACACACAGAGGGTGCGATGGATAAATTGTCGTCTAAATTACGCAAAACTGAAATTAACGCTAACACCTTATTTTAACAGATATATTGACCAGAAGTACGCAAAATACTAAAGCGTAAATTTATTCAATAAAATCGTCATTGGTTTCAACCACAGACTTCAGACGACTTTGGAATCTCTTGCAACTCTTCTGGGCAGTGCCTATGTGTTGTTTTGATGTGTTTGTAGAAACTGTCTGACAGCCATGACTGGCTTCTCCTGTTTGTGTGGTATGGTGCAGATTTCTGTTGCAACATATTGTCTTCCAGCAGCCACCCTCTTGACCAAGGACAGCACTACCTTCTCAAGTCATTTGAGGTAGGCCTCCGTGTTAAGTCTGAGGCCCTGACCAACAAATTCAGGAGTTCTTTTCTTATGAGAACGCTCAGAGCGAGTTTTCCGATTTGCCATACCTTCGTAATCATCATTGGACTCCATCCAAATCTTTCCTAAACCTCTGCACTGTCCTCAAATTGACACCCAAATACTCTGAACTGTTCGTATTGGAGCTTCACTGATCTTTTTCTCATAGACGATGCACAACTGACCCTATTATACTTGGATGTCGTCAAAATCATAAACAAATAACGCGCATGCGCGAAATCTAAAAATGGCGACAATTTACCAAATATATATATATAACTTCAATCGTTATT